TCTCGTCGAAGCCCTGGCGATAGAGGTTGAGTAGGTCCTCCTCCGTCATTACCTCCGTCAAGACGCTGGACGATGAGGAGGAGGAAGGGGGACGTAAGAACGGGTCGTGGTGTGTGGTGGGCTGAGGGCTAGGTGTTGGCTGGGGGGAGGTGGTGGGGTGGTGGGCACTAGTGGCGGTGGCTGGGGTGGGCGCAGGGGGCAGTAAGAGGGCACGTTCCCATTTGAGAGCTTCTTTAACTCTTTTCCATCCCGACACCTTTGTTTTGGGCACTGGCTGTGTGTCGGTACTCAGTAAGTCGGTACCGACCGATTTACTGCGAGAGCGAACCATAGTCGGGGCTGGACGGGTCTTACCTTTGTGTGGTGGTCGGTGGGTGAGCAGCAGCAGGCTCTCCTCGGACCCCTGGCGGGATAACTCTCCACCGCCACCTTCACGGTCATCCTCCAGGTGTAGGTCAGAGTCCGATAGGTGGATGGGGCCTAATCCCAGCCCTGACCGACGAGCCTCTAACGTTTCCTGAAGGTGGCGGTGCATTTCCTGAAGAGTCTGTAGCTCTTCAAGGTAGTTCACGCGTCGCTGTAAACGAGTATTTTGCTCACGAAGTTCACCAAGTTGTTCCATCATGCGACACAGGTTATCGAGGTGGTCCAGGCCGACCTTAGTGTTGACCACACCACCCACAGTGGCAGGCGCCCGTGTAGGGCTCCGGTGTTGAGATCTGACCGGTAATGCCGCTTCCTGTGGGGGCTGTCCTGGGCCTTCTTTATGAACAAATCCTTCTTTCTGTACCTGAGGAGACCTGCCGGGGCTCTCCTTCTGTGTGAGGAGAGGCCGTCCGGGACCTTCCTTTTGTACTTGTGGGAGTGACAACATGAAGTCCAGAAACTCTCGCTCAGTCTGCAGGGCGGCAGAGATGCCCTCACCCTCCACGGGGACCTCCACCATGTTGAAGTCGAAGGTGATGAGGCGAGAGTCAGGGTCCGGGCTGGGTGACACACTGGGACACGAGTCTGAGTCTTGGTACCGTCGACGACCCGTCGGCTGCAGCAGCGGCGAGCCTCGAGGACTGGCCGAGATTAAGGAATCCTGAGACATCTTTCTATGATCGTCGTCATCAGTTGTACTCAAACCGCCGTCAGCATCCCCCGCCTGCAGTAGGTCCTGCTCTTCCTGCTGCTGCTGAGAGTCCTGATCCTGATCCTGCAGGAGAGGTTCGGGCGTGAGTTCCCAGGTGGGCGTCCCGGGTGGATGTCCATCCTGCGGGACTTGTTCACTCATCACATGTACCACACTCTCACACCGCCAGTCCCGCTGGCACTGTGAGGTATCGGGCACGCCTGGCTGCTGCTACCTCGGTGTGGCGCCCCCTGCCTGCCCACCCCGCCCCCCAGCGGCCCCCGCCCTCACAGCTCCCCACTTGCCCCGAGACACCCTCAGGTTCGCCGCCGTCACTGCGCCACTAAATATACGATGAGTCTGGCCGGCCGCCGCAGCACCTGCCGAGAGTGACGACATTAAGTTTATAGGACACCAACACTGGAGGTAATATAAACAAATAATAAAGATGAAGCTCCAACACCTCGCCGGCCTGTAACCTGGTACACACACACACACACACACACACCAGCTGAGGCTCCACCTCTCACAACCACCTGCCACGCCCACCTGTGTGACGATACAGTTCAGAGATTAAATTGGAGATAGAGATTAAGAGAGAGAGAGAGAGAGAGAGAGAGAGAGAGAGAGAGGGAGAGGTACCACACATCCTCTGGCTGCCTGGACTGTACTACTGACACCAGCAGCTACAGCCTTCTCCTCCGTCACCTTCCTCCCTTCTACTCAGTTCTGGGGTGGGTGGGAGGTGGGGAGAGACCCAGCTCAGGTAATGACTACAGGTACAGAATACACATAGGTGATGCTGTAACACATTTCACCAATAATACGAGTCCAAACAAATACAAACTCTACCTTAAATATGACCAATAATGTTATTTCCATGTACTCCCGCTGTTCCATCCGTAGTTGATAATACAGGTTGACAATCCCTTATCCGAAATCCTTGGGGCCAGAGGCATTTCGGATTTTTTCGGCTTTCAGAATGGTTAGGTTTTTTTATACATAAGCCACCTGGGCATGGATCACTGACCCACATCGGGGCCTGGGGGGGAGGGGGGGCAAAAATATTATAATAATAATAATAATACTGTAATAATAATTCATAGGTCTAGGTCGCATTTCTCACTTTTGATCTTTTTTCATTCTTGTATTTCTTTATTATTATTATTATTTTATTACAGTATTATTGTTATTATTATTATTAATTTTATTATTGTATTTTATTATTATTATTATTATTATTGTTATCATTATTATTTTATTTTGGTGTACAGTATTTTAATTAAATTTTTTATTTACTATGAATAATTATTATTGTTATAATTATTATTACTATTACATTTTTGCCCCCCAAGCCCCGATGTGAGTCAGTGATTTATGCCCGGGTGGGCTAATCCCTGTTAAAAAAAAAAAAAAATGCCCCACAAAAAACTTTCGGTTTTCGGATAAAGGGTTGTCAACCTTACATCTAATTATTGTAAGAGGTGTGACGTCACGGCTGGGCCACCAATCAGAGGTGGTGTGTGATTCAGGGCGGTAAAAAAAAAGTAAGAGGTGTGACGTCACGGCTGGCCACCAATCAGAGGTGGTGTGTGAGTCAGGGCGGTGAAAAGGGAAAAAAAAGAGGTGTGACGTCACGGCTGGGCCACCAATCAGGAGGTAGTGTGTGATTCAGGGCGGTGAAAAAGGGAAAAAAGTAAGAGGTGTGACGTCACGGCTGGGGCCACCAATCAGAGGTGGTGTGTGAGTCAGGGCGGTGAAAAGGGAAGTAAGAGGTGTGACGTCACGACTGGGCCACCAATCAGAGGTGGTGTGTGAGTCAGGGCGGTGAAAAGGAAGTAAGAGGTGTGACGTCACGGCTGGGCCACCAATCAGAGGTGGTGTGTGAGTTAGTCTGTTTACATACTGTGTGTGTGTGTGTGTGTGTGTGTGTGTGTGTGTGTGTGTGTGTGTGTGTTATTTTATGCTCATAAATATATATAAAACGCTCACTGTTATGAACTATATGCCTAAACAAATATTAAATAATTCCTTCAGCACTACACATCTTTACTATGTCAAAATATGTCCACTTTGAAATCTAAAATCCAAAAGAAAGGGTAACTGTGACTGAACCATACATTCATAAATACAATACATACATACATACATACATACATACATACATACATACATACATACATTTGAATTCTTTTTAATCCAATTCATCATCAGAATTGGTAACACTGGGCCCTCAATCATTGTTAACACTGCGCCACACCTTATTGGCCTGGTAACAACCAATGTAAACCCTCACTACAGCTATGATGTCACACCACATGACTAACTACACCAATCGCGTCACACCACCGCCCCGATGCAGTACAGATGACGTCACGCCTTCTTAGTCACTCAAGTGGTGACGTCATACCATAATATTTACATGTGACGACGAGCGGATGACAAGTGTTGAGACGATGTTTCTTAAGTGACGTGAAAGAGGCCTGGAGACGCGTTGTTGACGTGTTTTGCTATGTATGTATGTATATATGTATGTATGTATGTATGTATGTAAAAATAATAATAATAATAATAATAATAATAAACGGTTTATTGAAAGAACATGGCAGCCAGAAGTATGTATGTCTATTTGTATGTAAGTATGTATGTAAGTAAGTATGTATGTATGTATGTATGGTACTAGCCCTCAGCCACGCCACAGTAGGGTCCCACCAATGTAAATATTGACGCTAGAGGCTCGACCGGGCTAAGTGTTAATCCAGGCGGGGATTAACAGCTAAAAATCACCAACAGAATCCTTAACTCAGATTATAATAACAAACTGGGTTACAGAAATCATAAAACAAAAAACTTAATCAGAGTAAACTTAATCAAGGTGTAAATGTAAACCAAGTAAACCGATTTTAACTTGTGACCCACGAAAGCTAAAACTGCACAGCACAGTCTACGGTCACAAACAATAGTGTACGGTCAGTCTACGGTCACAAACAATAGTGTACGGTCAGTCTACGGTCACAAACAATAGTGTACGGTCAGTCTACGGTCACAAACAATAGTGTACGGTCAGTCTACGGTCACAAACAATAGTGTACGGTCAGTCTACGGTCACAAACACAGTATACGGTCAGAAACACAGTCTACAGTCACAATCCACGGTCAGAAACACAGTCTACAGTCACAAGCCACCGTCACAAACACAGCCTACAGTCACAAACACAGTCTACAGTCACAATCCACCGTCACAAACACAGTCCACGGCCCCAAACACAGTCTACGGTCATACCTACGCTTATTTCACTCTCTTTTTGTCATCTATTAATCTGTTTTATGGCGTGACCTAACATTTGCCATTTAGCCGTTAAGGTCAACCTATTGTGTTATGAGCAAGCATTAAGGCGTGTGTTGACCGGTTGTGTACATGAGACAATATTCGATACAAACTCTGTGATAATAACAACAACAACAACAGCAATAATAATAAAACAAATAATAATAATAACAATAATAATAATAATAATAATAATAACAACGAGAATAATAATAATAATAATAATAATAATAATAATAATAATAATAATAATAACAACAACAACAACAATAATAACAATAATAATAATAATAATAATAATAATAATAATAATAATAATAATTACTAATATTTAATCTTAGTATCAGCATCTGTTTATCATTACCAAGAAGGTCACGTATATATGGATTACTGCACAGCCAAACTTTAATGCAGTGTGTGTGTGTGTGTGTGTGTGTGTGTGTGTGTGTGTGGAGGCATTAATTTCAGATATTTTATACAACTGTGGCGTTAATGGCAGTGGTTTAATTAGTCGGTTGGTGGGTAGGAAATTTCGTTACTGGTTTATGTAATGTTTGTTAAGTGTGTTTAATTGAGATAAAACTGACTTTATTTTGGAGGTGATGAAGCCATGGTTAGGTTAGGTTAGGTTAGGTTAGTTTAGGTTAGGTTAGGTTTGGTTAGGTTAAGCAAGGGAAGAAAGTAAACATTGGATTAAATCGCTGCCAGACGTATAGTTAATTTATCACCCCGCTAAAATTATATGATTAAAAAATTTCATTACTTTAACTTTAAAATTAATTAATTATATTTTTTAAGTAAGTTAAAAAAATAGAGATATATATAATATTAATATCAACATTCATATAATCAATTAATTTAACATTATTTAACATTACACATACAGGTTGATGAGATAACCTGTAGGAGTTAACACCTGAGAGAGATCCCTTAATTAATTTACGATAAGGTCCCTTCAGTGTAACTCACCTGTGGGAGTGAGGTGGTCCTGAGCAGTGTCACCTGTAAGGTATAATTTGGTGGTGTGTTTATGGTACGACCAGTTTTGGCACGACCACCACGACCAGGAAGACCAGTTCAGGCACGACCACGACGACCAGTCCAGGCAAGACCACCACGACCAGTTCAGGCACGACCACCACGACCAGTTCAGGAACTTTAACGACGACCAGTCCAGGAACTTTCACGAAGACCAGTTCAGGCACTACCACGACGACCAGTCCAGGCACGACCACGACGACCAGTCTAGGCACGACCACGACGACCAGTCCACAGGGCCACTCTAGAGGGTATGGCACGACCAGACCAGTCAAGATATGACCAGACCAGCCCAGGGACGACCAGACCAGCCTAGATACGACCAGACCAGCCCAGGGACGACCAGACTAGCCTAGATACGACCAGACCAGCCCAGAAACGACTACCACGACCAGCCCAGGCACGACCAGCCCAATCACGACCACCACACCTGATATTCAAGGTCACACTGGTTAAGTCTATGAAACGACCATCAAACAGGATAATCACTTCTACCAGTCCACAAAAGACGACTATCACGACCCACACGACTAGTCTACTGGTATTACAGGACGACTTTGGTGTGTAGGGTGTGTAGGGGGGGAGGGGATACGACCATGACTGGAGCAGCAGGAGGAGGAAGAAGAAGAAGAAGTGCTCACGTGACACACACACACACACACACACACACACACACACACACACACACACACACACACTTCACCTGTTGCACTACGTCTTGCTACCAGCACCTACTCCCCGCCCCCCACACTGACACACCTTCCCTGCTGTATTGTCATCATGTGAGTTCTCTTTTCCACTGTGTTCTTGGGATAAATTTTCAATATCTTGGGATAAATTTTCAATATCTTGGGATAAATTTTCAATATCTTG